CAGACTAAGAAGTTAGGAGGGGGGTTTGGGGGGGCTCTGCCCCCCCAATTAGGTTTTGGCTAAGCTGGGTTGTTAGGTTTAGGTATTAGGTTGGGATTTGGTTAGGATTAGGGAGGGGAACATGTATTTTCATTAAAAGGACTTCATTTTGACTTAGTGAAATTCAAGTCGAATTGTGAGTGGCCAATTCAAGCTAACCAAATTAGGGCTGTGGAACTCAGGGTCCGGGTGCGGAAAAGACGCGACTGTTTGTCAGACGCGTATCTTACATACCTGTAGTATTGATGCCCCTACTTATATATCATTTTACCTTCACTGGACCTACACGGTCTCAAATGGACGGGCGACAAGCTTCACCCCGCTCACTTTGTTCTCTTTCAGCCGCTTCAGTCCATCCGGGATTCCAGCCAAACCATTTGGAAGCACCTCAACACGGTTCGGCTATTTTATCAACTCGTCAGATCGCATCTCTCAGATTAATAACAATTATAACATACCTTTATCGCTCCAGTCTCAAGTAGGCGCGTCAACTTGCTTTGCAAACTAGCACCCAGCTGTCGCAACTCCGATGAGTGGAGATCAGCGAAGACGGTATCGATGACTGTCTTTCCTTTATTCTTGTCGACATATGCCTCACGTAATATCAGAACCAGTGTCCCGCCAGGACCAAGAACGTCCCATGCTTGTTGTTGCGTATCCTTCTCAGATACTGCGTCATATACCAACGCGACCGGCGTATCACCGAGAATCTCCTTAACTTTGGATGGAACATCCGCTTTGCGATCAATTACGTGATTTGCCCCGAGCGATTCAAGGAAATCGGAGTTGTGCAATGAGGCTGTCGCGATGATAGGTGAAAACCCGGACAGCTTCGCAAGCTGTATAACTAGAGACGTGTTAGCGCTAGTGCTTCCGGGGCATACATTTGTGATGGTGCTTCTCACCATACTGTCCGACAGAAGATGATCCTCCGAAAATGACAATAGGCTTTCCACGATATAGACCTTCGCCACCTTCCTCCCAACAGGGTGTGTATTTCTGGACTCCGTCGGGCCTGTCGGCATAAAGGCCCACAGCTGCGGTTGCGATACCGAGAGGAATTGAAGCAGCTTCGTCAAACGAGATGTTGTCGGGTAGCTAAATACCATAGTTGTACAGAGGGCTTTTGGCAAAGACACGGAAAAAGGGCTTACCTTCGCTGCAAGCTCAGCCGGCACTATACCGTACTGCTGAAATGTCGCCTTGTCATAAGTTAAAAAGTTCCCCTCATAGGCCCTAGAAATGAAAGTATGTCTCTATACGGAACACACGCGGAAGACGTCATACACTCTGTCTCCCTTCTGAAATCCTTGCACACCCTCGCCCAGAGCCTCCACGGTTCCTGCGGCATCGGTTCCGAAGATAGCAGGAAAAGTAGGCACGAAGAGATTGAATTCGTGCCTTTTCCAGTCTGCAGGGTTCAAAGCAGTTGCATGAATCTTTACCAAGAGTTCACCAGGTCCGGGTTTCGGAATAGACGTTTGTCTAACGCGGAACTCGCCCTTAGGAGTCTCGAGAAGTAGTGCTTTTTGTTCAGCCATTGGGAGGGATTATGTCGAAAATGAGATAAGGACAACTCGATCGTCCTAATTTTTAACAGTATATCGACCCGCATGGACAGGTAATTCCCGAGCGCCCTTTTAGCAAACGTACTTTGAATAAGCATGAAAGGCTGTGTAATGCGGTTCCAACTTTACTGCACTGCGGATACTTAACAGCTGTGTCATTTCAAGAACGTGTTTCTCAGGGCGGATGAAATGTGATTAAATTGCACCTCTATATATATTATCAAGCAAATGTGCTGCATTCCTTGTATCCACACGTCATGATGGCATTGCATTGTGATCTGTATACAATGCGTCGAGTACACAACGTGATCTGGCCATAGAGATTAGACCTACCGTGGGAAGCTTGAACTGAGAAAATGACGCGTTGTGTCGGCATTGAATGATGATTCGGCATAGTTTTCGGCGTCGAGTTGGAACAAAGTACTCCTACTCGCACCACTGCATGTGATTTCCAGCGTACCTTGTACTTCTGACCTTGTAGCATATCTTATCTGCTTGTTGATAACATTGGCAGGACAATGCTTCTCTTCTCGACAAACAATCATGCAATCTTCACTGTCTGATGCGTAGTAAAGCTGACTAATTACCATCATTTCTCGTGGCAAGAAACATGTCTTATCGGCACAATGCATCATACCCTCCGTCATGGACGGTAGTCGCTTCGCTGTCTATTGCCGTATCATCTCTCCTATTCGATGCATCGTATACATTGCAATACTGTGCATAACGTGTTAAGATGAATGAAATGGACATTCGCATGATGAGTGTGCAGAGGTCCGATTCGATCGTCCCGTCGACCCTTAAAACCAGCTTCGCTTTTTTGCCTTCAGCGAAAGTCAGGGGGCTTGCCCCCTGGACCCCCTCTTAATATTAGTCTCAAATGTATTTTTCGTACTGTTTAAAATGCATAAATAAATAAGTCTATTGTGTGCCAATAAATGTAATAAATATAATCTAATTACAATCATATACAACATTATAAGTAACATATTCTTGTCTAGGCTCTGTCTCTTACAACTACTTCTAAAGTCACTACTTTCAGTTCTTCCCTTAATGTGTGTACATAATACCTATTATTATTCTTATACATAATATTCCACTGGCCAACATCTTTATAAGTGTATATATAGTCTCATTACACTTACACAAAGAGTAGCAAGTTCTATTCTGCTCTCACTCATTCAGCTCTCTAGTCAGGAGAAATGCTGTAGACACTACCAAGATCTATAGACTTACTATGATACTGCTCAATAATATAGAATGCCCTAGGAATGACTGAATAATATACACATACTAACCTGCACCTATTTTACTTGTAAATTGCTGTCATTTTATTTTATATTTTATTTATACACTGTTTCAAGGGTAGGGAATGATTATACACAATTAGATACTCATTAGGTAGGAAACTTGTCTATTTTATTTGTTGCTTCTTACTTGTTGTACTGGTGCTATATTCAGTGTTACAACAGAATTAGCAGAGTTTTCTCACGGGTGGCAGGTTTGCAGACAGCAATCAGATGCGTCTCAGCAAAAATACTGTATTTAGTTTAGTTAATTTCCACAAATGGTTTAGTTTTATGACTAAAATTCGGACTTCGAACTTGTGGCACAGTCGCGGGGTAGGGGTTGTCTTTACTATATAGAATATAGATACTATATAGATAGATCTACGTCTTCAAAATGCTGCACGACTGTTAGCTTATCCCCACATTTTTTATCAACACATTCTTGCTGATGGCTGAACAAAAGGCCCTTCTTCTTGAGACTCCTAAGGGAGAGCTTCGCGTCAGACAAATACCCATCCCGAAACCCGGGCCTGGTGAACTCTTGGTAAAAATACATGCGACCGCTTTGAATCCTATAGACCAGAAAAGGCGCGATACCGGCTTCCTCATCCACGCTTATCCCGCTATCCTTGGACTCGATGCCGCCGGAATCGTGGAGGCTCTCGGGGAAGGCACGCAGGGATTTGCGAAGGGCGATAGAGTGTAAGACATCTTCTCTTCCATATGTGCTCCATAATGAGGCTTATCCTCTTTCATAGCGCATACGAAGGACACGTTTTCTCGAATGACAAGGCCACGTTCCAGCAATATTCTACGGTGCCAGCCGAGATTGCGGTGAAAGTAAGTCCATTATAATTTCTCAATTAGAAGCTCTTCTTATACAAGTATGTATTTAAAAAAATTCTAGCTACCGGAGAATATTTCTTTTGACGAGGCCGCTTCAATCCCTCTCTGTATCGCAACCGCAGCTGTGGGCCTCTACAGCGAAAGACCTGAAGGGGTCGGGAAGTATACGCCTTGTTGGGAGGAAGGTGGCGAAGGTCTATATCGTGGAAAGCCAATCGTCATTTTTGGAGGATCATCGTCTGTAGGACAATTTGGTAAGAGACGCCGTCATGATAGTAGGTCTGGGGAGAGTTTAACACCGACACTTTCACAGTCATACAATTTGCGAGGCTCTCTGGGTTTTCACCCATCATCACGACCGCTTCATTGCACAATTCCGAATTCCTCAAATCGCTCGGGGCAAACTATGTCGTCGATCGCAAAGCGGACGTTCCAGCCAAGGTTAAAGAAATCCTCGGTGATACACTAGTTGAGTTGGTATACGATTCAGTATCCGAGAAGGATACACAACCACAGGCATGGGAAGTTCTCTCACCAGGCGGGACACTGGTCTTGGTTCGTCGAGATGTACATGTCGACAAGAACAAGGGAAAGACAGTGATTGATACCATTTTTGCGGATTTCCACGGCCCAGAGTTGCGGCAGTTTGGTGCAAGCTTGCAGAGCAAGCTGACACGCCTGCTTGAAAATGGGACGATCAAGGTATGTCTTCCGTGTACTTGGATCGAGAGATGGGACCTAATGCATAATGACACAGCCGAATCGCGTCGAGGTGCTCCCTAATGGCCTGGCTGGAATCTCGGATGGACTGGATCGGATAAAGGAAAATAAAGTGAGTGGGATAAAGCTTGTGTCCCGTCCCTTTGAAACTGTGTAACTGCAGCAAGAGTATGGTAACGTATGGATAAAATGTTAATATTATGCTGTTATTGTGCAACATCGGAGAAGTGCCATTGCAAGTGTCTTCCGTCGTTTGTGTCGCAGATGAAGGATTAACTATCGCATTTAACCTGTGAAATGACACGTTCTGGGATCGATGCCAAGACGTTCCGCTCGTAAATGATACAAAGACCCGGCATTCATATCTGCTAAGTGAATATGACAATTAGCACTACTTTTTTCGCTTGGATTTGAGTTGCGTCATCCCTATTTTTAATTTTAAATTACGGCTTTGTATGTTCCTTTCACTTGTTTGGTCATACCTGTGCTGTAGTATCACAGAAAATTGTTTTCAAATCCTCATCCGGAAGCATCTTATGTAGTACTCTGCAGCGGATTCAGAATATATGAGTACTGGCAGCTTCTGCTTGGATGCAAGCTGTACTGACTGTGAAATTAGAAATGAATGAGGGAGGCGTAGAGGTGAAGGTTGTGTGCATCTGAAACGATGCAATGCAGCAAGAAAAGGTTTTACGTTTGTATGACCAGTAATTTGAGATTTCCAAGAAGTCTGCAGCTATTTGCATGCATTTCGCGAGCAGAAGGGAATAATAGTAACGGATGATGTTAATGCCAGTGACTACATGATGATGCCTGAGCTACACATATTGCATGAATACAAACATGTCAATGAGAACGCAAGCTCCAAAGGCATCACTGAGTGGTAGAAATGTAGCGTTGAGATAACACTCATAACTGGTGCGAATGGTAACTGTTTATCAGGTGCCGAATCTTGATGT